AGGAGTGTTTAAGCTTAATCACGGGCAGCTACGGCGAGGCCCCCATAAAGCACGAACGGCGCGGCGCGTTCTCGAAGATTTACGCGATTGCGACGAAGGGGGGTTGGCGGGCGGAGCCGGGGACGGGGGATACAAAATCGGCGCACGGCACCCTCGGGAGCGCGTGACGGTTTATCTTCCTCCGTTGCATGTGCATTATTATCATTATATACCGTTCGTTCTTTCTCCCGCCCCCGTCATCCCGCCTCGTTTGCCGTTTCACCTCTCGTCTACGGAACGAAAGCTTCCCTGCAGCGGCGCGCCGGCTCGAAAAGAATTTCGCAAGGGAGCGATTGGCCGTTTACTCGCAAACTATAGCGACACTGTTTACGACTCCACATTACGATGCATAGTGCAATAGCCAGCGGGATAAGCCGCTGCAGCGCGACCTCTTAGCGGTTATGGCCTCTTCTTGGTCAGCGTTTGTTGTTCGAACAAACCGACTCCGTCTGCGTCTGAGGGTGGATTTCGCGAGAGAGAAAAAAAGAGAGATTGCTGATCCATCGCCGAGGCACGCGAACGATAAATCGGAATGGGTCTGAAACGAGATAAGGAACACTGCGTGGGGGAGAGGGAGGGGAAACACGGCGGCATTGCAAAGTTCCACACAATTCACGTGTCCGCGACCATGGTAAGCTAATTCACGGGACAACCATACACGCGACGCAGACGGGTTTTCCTTTTAAAAGCGTTTACTTGTACTTTTTAAAAGTGCATATACAGTAACGAGCTCGGTGTAACAAGAAATTTTGAGCTGTTCTGTTTTAATAATAATGGTTTAATAATAAATACTTTTTTATCGAGCGCATCTTTTTTTTGCGAGAGTTCTCCTGCTTTTCCGTATACGGGACTATAACTGCAGTAATAATGCTCTCTCTTTCTCTCTCTCTCTCTCTCTCTCTCTCTCTCTCTCTCCCTCCCATTCAACGGTTCAATTACGCGAAGTAACGCCGGCCGTTTCAAGCCACGGCGCGGGGACGACATCTGCGTTTCCTCACAATCGCGCGCCACTTGGCGTGCTCCACTTTTCCCCCGACATGTGCTCGTTTCGAATAAGTTCTATGAATGAAGTTTTCGTCTAGGTCTCTCTCTAATTAAATCGCGTGAATGAGTGCAGGCGGGGCCGCGTCGCCAAAAGTGTCAAGGATAATAAAGTTTACCGGAAAGATAAACCTATCATGTCAGGGTGAAGCGGGGGAGAGGGACGGAGGGGAGGGGGGGGAAGAGAGCGGGGGAGAGATGGGGGAATCCCCGCAGGAGGATCAAACTTCAAAAGTATCGTCGATTTATTTGCGATGCGGGCGAAGTAATACCGTCAGGAGTTGGGACGGGAGTTTGGTCGGACGCGCCCATATATCACGGGTAATATATCATTGACTATTGACACATGACAAAAACTTCGTCCCTTCGCTAATAATACAATATTTTCGTTTATTCTTAATTTACTCACGGATATACACGCTGATCGCGGACGTTAATCCGCTTTTTTAATTATCGGTACGATTTCCGAATTTTTGTTCAGCGCGGCTATTTAAAATTCTGCCTCGGACGGCGAGATCTCTAACAAGATGCAAACCCATCTCTGCGGCAAACACAGCCCGTTAGTCTACCAGAATGCGTTGACTCGGCAGAGAGGAATTCCCTTCGCGGAATATCACGACACTCATTACAAAGATAACAATCTGTTAAACAATTTTTCAACTCAAACACACGCAGCCCGATTTTTTTTCTGAATCCTCTTGTCGATCGGTCGCTCCTCAAATATTGCCCCTGCTGGAAGTGATTCTGCTGTAAGTTCCACAAGGGGAAAAACTGCAGAAACACCGTGCGAATTTTTGCAAGGTAATATTGTGTAGCATAACTTTGCTCATCTCGTGAAGGACGAGTTCCCTTTGCCTTTATTCCCAAAGAGAATTAAAAAACGATTTGGTGAAATTATATGAAGGGTTCGGGAAATCCCTTGGATTTGAACGAGTGAGGACGAACGGAAGGGAGGTTCGTTTTATTTGGGGGGGGAAGGGCAAAACACCAATAAAGGATCAAGTATTGCGGCGCGCAGGGAGAAGAAAAAGAAAGAGAACGAGAGAGGGAAACCTCTCGTCGACACGTGCTTCAGGATTTCATTGAATCTTAATGAGCGAGTTCTGACACAGAATGTCGTAGAAATAGTAATCCGAGCGGTTTGGCATAACTGATCGCGACTGACGTGGCTCATGAGATTCCTGTCATGCCATACTATGACCCCAGATCAACCGTGATCGCGTGTCGGCATGTACCGTAGATTATCCGATCATGTTCGATATATAGGTTGTCCGAGAAATGGGTCACCCATCTCAGGTCGCAAATATTAGAAATACAACTCCGGCCGGAGTGATATCCCAGTTTATAATTCATTCCATATCGGGATAAAAATTGATTGGGAATCGTAAAAGTCAATGAGTTTTTGCGCATAAATTTGATTAAGAATAAATACGAAAAAGTTGCACCACTTAATAATTCAATAATGAAACGATAAATAAATATTTTTGCGTACAATTTTAAACAGTTTAATTTTTAATTTTCTCTCTCTTTCTCTGCTCATCATTCTCTTTTTTCCCTTCTCATTAATTATAAGTATATAACGTTTAATATAAAAAGCTGGAAAATCGAAAAAACAAATTTAGTGCTTAATACAATTTTCAATAAGGGATTGAGAAGATTAAATTTACGACTGAATTGGTAATGTCCGGAGTAAGAAATTTTTAATAGAAACTTCATTTGAGCGGTGGTCCAAATATTATTTTATTTCACAAATTTTGTAATAAATTCGCGTATTTCGTAATAAATTCGGAAAATTAAATTCTTCTAATCTAATAAGCTATTTTTTTATTTAAGAAAATAGCTCATTATTTTCCCATTAAATTTATTTATAATATTTATATAATTTGGTAAGCACGGTTACAAAAATCTTTAACTTTATGGACTTTTGCGATTACCCTGGTGGAATTTCATTTTCGTCGTTTCGGGAGAAGGGCGAACATTCGTAGGCGAAAGATGTCACGTTTAATTTTAGCGGCTTTCGTGTACGACGGCGATTTATTAGTACAAGTGCGTGCCGGCACGTAATAGTATCGATTGTCTTGAAACGACCAGTGATATTTGTATTTTGCCCCGAGAATCGGACGAAGCGGGCGGCGTTTAAATATTTGGCAGGCGCGCTCACTCTCATTCTCTCTCACTCTGTATCCTTTGACAGAATTATATTTACCTCGATCCGTGTTGAGCGTACTAACATAGAAATAATTATTAAATCTGAATGCAAAACTATAAGCATAAGCAATATGCCGATCACAATTCGGCCAAAATGTTTAATTTATACACAAATTACGTATGCAATCGAATTACGGTATGAAATTATATCTCGTCGATTTGGTCCTATAATTTTATAAATATTAATTTATTAATATATTATTATAATCGAATATACGTTTCTCGGTGTTACGTCGACGATACGTAATACATTGTCTTTTCGGATCCTCTCTGTTTATCCTGAACACTTGATATCTACTCCAAATATCTTCTGCGATCCCAGAAGTAAAGCGCTCTGTGTGGCATATTTATTACTTTTAAATAATCTAGCTTAGGATTTTCAGCGAATTTTATCAAATTGCAGCGAAACCGAATTACTATACTCAAATCGCAAATTCAGGACGATACGCGACGGTTCGGGGACGGTCGTCGTTTTATCGAGCGAAATCGCGACACCGATGCATCTCGGGGCGCGTATTTCAATTATTAATGCCGACATCACGTGTCACGGTTATTTCTGGGAGGAAAAAAAAGAGGAGGAGGACATTTCGCGTGGCCGGAGAAGAGTATAATAGGAAATGTAGGACGGTGACACGGGTAGGGAAGGGAGAGAGGCTGGGGAAGGGGGGAGGAAGAACGAGATAAAACGGGACAGAAAGAGAGAGTACACACGTTCTCGCGGATTTATATAACTCGCCGACGGTCCTGCGGGAGGAAGAGAAAAGGGGCGGTGTGAGCGGAGGGAGGGAAATCATCTGCATGCGCGAATCGGTAATCGATCGCGAGCGCGCGGATACAGGCCGGCCGTTAATAAATTAAGATAACTGCGAATCGGAGAACGAGAGGGAAAATGGGTTAATGAGACGCGGCGGAGGAAACAGTTTTGCGCGCGCGGTAAGGGAGAGGAGACGAGGGAGGGGAGGGAAGGGGGAGGCGATCAGGAAAATGAGAAGAGCGACACGTGGGGATTATTACGGGGATCCATTACAAGTTTATGGATTCGTCCGTGGATAAAATACGGTCGCGCGTCTCAATATTAACCGTATATTAACGTCGCCGTAAATTAACCGCCTAAGAACGACGTCTATCCGATACCGCGGGCGATTAAACGGAATATCTAGTAACTCCCGTGCTAAACTATCCGAATTCCACCATTATCAGGATACACTTTCCCCGCGTCCTCCGCTAATAACTTCTGTCTATTTAGTGCACAATTTTTTACCACATTCTGAGAAAACATATGTATATTGTAGAATTTTTTATTTTTATGATAAAGTAAAGAGAGGAAAAAACACAGATTTCTATATAACCAGATCGCTAGCTCCGAGAAATGAAGTGGAGCCAAATAACTTAGGAGAGAGAGTAGCAGCCGTCTTTACCCATGGTAATGGGTTACATTTCAAAACGTCAAAATCTTAACCAATATTATTAAATGTATACTAATATTACTTCATAAAGCATTGTATGTGATTACCGGATAAATATGTCGTTCAACACAACTGGTAACAAACTGTATATAGAGTACAGGATGTTAGCGACCTAGATATTGTAGAAATCTGTGGGAAGAAACTTTACCCCGATCTTTTTTTCTTAAAAAAAAAAATCTTCCGAAAGACTCGCATTTTGACTCAACTCGTCGTGATTTCAGGAAGAGGGCATGACGCACCGAACTCATGCAGTGGCGAAAACACGTGCGCATCAAGTACGGTGGTCGAGTCGGTGTCGGTCAAGGACAGCGGGAGCGGGAGCAGGTGCAGCTGCAGGTGCGCGTGGTGCAGCTGCAGCGGGAAGGGGGCGCACGACTCAGCTACGTCTGTCATCAGCCTCAACTCTCGTCGACGGCTCGCCGCAGCTGCAGCGCAGCAGTCATGCTCTGCTGCGGCCGCAGGAAAGTAAGTGCAGTTAAGAACGCACACGATTGACACGCGGCTCGGACATCGCGGACATCGCGCGCATCGGTCATAGTAAGTGACGATGGTATAGACCCTCGGGGGACCCTCGAAGGTCTCTTGCCCCTCAGGGAGATTTGTGAAATCTTTCCGCGACAGAAGTCTCTCTCCGTCTCCACGCGAGAGAACCGCGCGTTCGAACGTCTCTGAGATTTTCCAAGTCGATTCAGTGGAAATATCGACAGGGCAAGTTATCGCTAGGAACACTTTGTGTGTGTGCAAAATCGAGCCTTATAGATCTTGCCGCGATAAACGCGCGATGGATTCGAGCCAAATCAGAACGCGCCAGAGCCTGCAGGCTTCCGGAATTTCGACCTCGCCCCGACGTCATCGTACGTTGAAGATCGCGCGTCGGAGTTGAAAAAGGGAGAGAGACTTTTCTTTAAGAACGCGCCCGCGTATACGCCGCACGCGTCGCGGAAATATTCTCTCGCACGTCTCTGCCCTTGATTCCCGTGCGAGGATTCCGCGACGTTCGTCATATCACGCCTGAATCACATTTCACGTATATGTTAAAAAAAGGGACAGTTAGACGTGAATCATTCAGCGTGTCCATCACGCGTTCGCTCATATCGCAACTTTTATCCGATATACAATATTGCCGCGTTGCCAACGGTGCAGAAGTTATTCGTATGAGCACACATTTAATTTCGCATTCTACGCAGGCCGCCCCGCATCCATTCGTCGCGCTCCACTTTCCCCGTAAGTTTATACCCGATGGGAAAACTTACGACTCTTGAATCTCGACGTCAAATATGTAATTGATACTATTCAAGCGTTAAATCAAGTTTCCGTTAAAATAACTCGCCGCTCGGAATCATCTGTAAAGAGCGAGATTTTACCCACTCCCGAAGTTAAATCCGTCGAAAGTTTCACTTCTCGACGTTGGCTCTTCTGCGCTCCGCGCGACGAGCTTGATTTTGGCGAGGAACAAATTTTATCAGATTTTACAAAAATAATTCGGTGAGACGTGCGATAATTTGCATTTAAAATGAGAAGAATAAAAATAACATAATAATGCGATCATGGTCATTAAATTTGCTTAACGTTTAATAGCATTTAACATGTGCTCCAATTTGTGCTCCAGTTTGTAACATACATTAAAGTTTTCTGAGAGCTTCATGTTCATTTATAATCGTGGAATATAAATGGTTGTATGAGAGAAGGATTATTTTCTCTTTTCTCTCAGACTCGAAAACTTAGATTTTCCATCACCATTGTTAAAAGGTAGGATATTTCGATGCGGTATTTGATCTAATGAAGAAAACGTACGATGGAGAGGCAGGCGCGAAGGGGTTAAACGAAGTCGTTTTCCTCCCCCCCCC